GACTTGTAGAGCACAGGGGCTTTGAGTGATTGACTTACAGACAACAGAACAGGTGGTGTCCGGACCCACGTGATGAGTATGCTCTAGGCCTCCGTGAAGAACATATGCGGACCCTGGAAAAAAGAAAAAAAAAATTTCCCCCTAACAAAGAAAAAAAGGAAGAAGTAAAAAAAAGGAACGAAGGCGAGTTGTTGCGCTTAATATGGCGGCAAAGTGTCGCTTCAGGTGTTCTTCAATGGTAATGACTATTTCGACGTCCACTTTCAAAATAATTTCGATATTATTGAAGACGTGACTGTAATGACTGTAGTTTCGATTTTTAAAATCACATTAACGTCCCCCGTCAAAATGTTTGTTTCTCCTTGTTTTGACATCTCAAACTTAGAACTCTGGAGCTTCGAAGTTCGGACTAGAACGTGATCGAAGTGGCGTTCAAACAAATAGCATCTTACTTGCAGGCGGCGTCGCGGTTCAACGCGCATTGAAAATGCAACATCTAGAGGTTGTATTTTTGTAAGTTTTTCTGCATGTAGTAACGTTTGCTTGGTTGCGCCCAGCATTACAGAATGCACTACCGCAGCGTTTTATGATTTATTTCGCGTGCTTTATAAAGACAAAGGAGCTGAAAGTCGTGTCAGAAAATTTGCAGTTGATCGGAAAATACGCGTATCTCGTGCAACCGCGCAAGAACCTTTGTTCGGACCGGTCAAGAAACATCCAGGATCGGCGATGTTTGCATTCACAACTTTTTATTTAACATCTCGATCGTTTCGTAGTTAATCCGCTCGTTATACACGAACTAAAAGTAAAATCTACTAAACAACGAACTCACGAAACTTGGTTAAAAACGGGGCGGGAGAGAGATGCAAAGCGAGATTGTAACCATACGAAGACGCGCTCGCACGATATGGAGACGTAAAAAGCGTGCCCGATTTCTCAGTGTTACGTAAAGTACGCACTTAGACTTGTTACGTACAGGCAAGACAGGGGGTATCCAGCTCGCCTCTGTTGCAGATTCAAAATTTCAGGTGAGACGTGCGCCGAAATGAAGTGGCAGCTCAGAACATCGAAGTCGGGCGTGTCACGTCTGAAAGGATGAACTGCCGAGCCAGTCCCACACACACGCTGAATAACATATTTTACTGCCAACTAGGACCGAAGCTTATTAGGTACACAACACATGACTCCGTTAATTATCGCCAAAACAATATCGACAACACCATCAGAAACAAAACAGAACGAAACCACGAAACGGCTACCACTGCGACGGCTGCACTGACAGAGGACGTTGAATTAGTGAAGCGACGTTTTACGTCAAAATGTCACATACGTCGAATATCTCACATGCGTCGAATCAATTTTTTATATCTTTTGATGATGGATGTCGAAATAGTCACCGCTTTCTAAACTGTCCTTTCCCCAAAATATTGCAAAAAAAGCGAGGAGCTTATAAGTGCGCTTCACCCTACGATCATATGCACTGCGGGAAGACAAGAAAAACGCAAGTGCTATTTACCCCACGATGTTCTGTTGGCGGGAAAGAGATAAGCCGATGAGAACACGTTAAACTACGGTATTGTGCACTACAGAAAAGCGAGAAACCCACAAGTGCGCTTCACTTTACGGTTACAAGTTTCCTCAGAATCAATTGCACCAACTAGCCGAAAAACAAATCTCGTTACCTTAACACGGGGGTATTCAAACCTTGGGTTCCGCTGCTACAAATGCAAAAATAAACGAGTATAAAAAAGAGGGGGGAGGGGGCGAGGTGGCGCCGCGGCGCGATTTAAAAGCGCAAGCGAAGATATAAGAAATAATGAAGAAAAATCTGCATCAAAACGCGGGTTCTCTCGCCCTAGTATTTGTTGTACATTGTCATCACCATTCATAGTTTCCTGTTTTACGCCTGTTTAATTATGATCTATGTCATAGCTCTTGTATATTGTCATCATCAGATCTAGCATTCTCACCAGTCTTCTTCTGCCCCGTGTTGATATGTCAAAGTTCATATGACCTTTGAGTTTTGACTGGGGAGTTCTTTGAGTCACAATTATTTTGTAATGTCATAATTAGCAACAGATTGTGTTTTAAAATAGAGTATACATATTCATCCACCTTACTTTTCTTGTTTTTATTTATTGCTCTAGTTAATTTTTTTTATTCAAAAACTTATTTAGGCCTGTTTATTTTGTATTTCCTCATCTATGTAACCTTACCTATTTTCTGGCCCTCGAGACTTCAACAGGTTCCCAATCCGGCCCCTTAACTAAAACGTTCGGAAACCCTCGCACTACGGTATGAGTATTGCGCAAAGCAGAAACGTGAGACCCCCGTAAGTGCGTTTCACCCTACGACGTTGTGCACCGCGGGAGAGCGACCTTCCAGAGGGCTGCAGCTTATATTTATTGCGGGAAATCTGCACGTACAATTAGCCTTCTCAAGAGCCCAGTGTAATAAACGAGCTCCTCTCACATGGAAACACATTTATTGCACACACGCAATCATTGCTGCAATGGCAAAAATGCTGCACGCGTTCTAGCGAGGAAACAAAGAAAAATTAAGTGAGGAGTTTATTTCGCAATAAAAATACCTGTGGTCCACACACATTAATTTTCCCTTCAGCAAAACCTTTGCCCGATTGCCTCTTGTGCACACGTGGGATGAACTACAAACTAGAAGCGACACTACTTTTCTTGCCTTATCGTCGGTATTCTAGAATCCAGAGCAACATTTTCACTGTCGGTTCGAGAACTGCACACTGAACTGCGCTCAACATTCTCCACGTGAAAATTCACCGTCCATCGCTGCTAGGCAACATATCGCTCACGGGATCACCAAGATAGGCTGCCGCACATAGTGCCAAAAAGAGAACCTTTTCTGTTTTCCAAACAGAATCGTTCAATGCTATGGTGGCTATGTGAAGAGCAAATGGTCTTCTTCAGCTAGTTGTCTACTGGGTGTAGCAGCAGCCAACTCGTTGGCTCAATGCCATTTGGAGTTAATCGATTCAAACTTTTGGTGACCATTTATCTACAAACAACTGAGATGAGTGATAGGTTTGACCCCATCCAAATTACATAAGTGTTTTCGATTTGTTCTAATTAAAATTTTTAATTGGATTCAATGGTTTTAACTGCGTGGTCATTCTCCACCACGCGCATTGTTCATTTATCATCTGCCTATTTTCTTCCCGCGTGAAGACTTCGCCATTTCTGTATTCGTCGGTTATCTCGTATGTTTGGTCTATTGTAGGAGAATGGCTTCGTTTCCACAAAAAGAGGTCTAGTTCTGCGGATTATGAACAACAAAAAAGTGAAGCGACACATTATTTTTGTTTTCCCTCTTCGCTGTTCCAAGCGGCCAGAGACGCGTCACTGGCCCCAGCAGCGGCGTAGACTTTCCATTTTCCCGGAGGGGGGGGGGGGGGGGGGGGGGGGGCAGGCAGGCAGAGAAGTTCTTTGGGGGGCGGGGTGCTATTGAAGCTAACGAAAGCATGCCAGGATTCTATTTCCCATGTATTTTGTCAATAAAGGCAACGTGGGCGTTATTTGTTTACATGCCACTACTAGAGGCTCGTTACATGGCACGTAAACAGCGTCTTGGTAAGGATCATAGCCCAGGCCTGGGGGGGGGGGGGGGGGGGGGGGGGGGGGGCGGGCCCCTCCCGGGTCTTACCAGGGGTGGCACGAGCCCCGATGCCCCCTCCCCCCCCCTCCGAAGTTTACGCCTATTGGCCCAAGGACGGTTTCTGTGAACAGTACCTAAGTTCCAAAAGGTGTCAGGAAATTGACATCACGAGTCTCCTATACACAAATTTATTTTCTCAGCTAAATTTAGCGGGAAAATTGATGTCACGTGACCTGACGTCACGGGACATACAGACTAATTCAGTTTCCCCGCTAAATTTAGCAAAAAAATTGACGCCACATGACTTCTACAACTATTCAGTTCCCCGCTAAATTTGACGGGAAAATATATGTCACGTGACGCGCCAATTTTCTTACCAATTACGTCACCAATTTTCTATAATGCATTGCATGCATTATATGACTTTAAAAGTAAACGTCGTTGCCTATTTTCTGTTCAATGTGTATTGTTTATTTTGGCACAAGTGAGTGAAAATGCCCCACACACTAAAAGTTTTTACACCCTTAAGGGTGTACATCAGTTTGTCCCAGGGCTAACACCCTTAGGGTGTTCAGGCAAACACCCTTTATAATGGGTGCTCGCCAAACACCCCTGGTAGAGGGTGCTTGCCGTAAAATGGGCGCCCCCTGGGGTGGCCCAGTGGATGCTGGGCCACCCCAGCCAATCCAGTGCCGGGAGAGTATCATGCAACGTTTTGGTTATGTGGAGTTCAAGCTCACATGACACTCTGCCGATGCTGGATTGGCCGGTAGCGTCTGCCGCACTCGGACGAAAGCTGAAATGAAGCATAGGCCCTAGTAAAAATTTTATAGGCATGTGTCCAATACACATATCAGAAATTCTAAATTGTACGAAAATCATATAAAGTATTGGATATTCTTATCATGATTCTCAGCTTATCATGTTTACTAAACACATTTACTTTTTTTCACCTGGGGGGGTATTGCCAAATCACATACAAGGCACATGATAAAGGAAGAACGAGTCACATTGAACGCAACTCACTTCATGAAGTAATACAAAAGAGCTACTTGCAAGCCACATCATAAGCCTGAGGGCAACTGGTAGTGCTTCCGGTGCCGCCCTTTCTCGAACTTCAAGTGAGCAAGCAGTGGCCCCAAGCATCGTACTGCACGGCTAAACCATAGTTATAAACATAATGGGCTTTTACAAATGAAGCATGTGGAGCTTTCCTGTTTGGAGATCAAGTACCAAGTTTTGTCTCAGAGGATTGCAGGAAACACGCTTCACTCATCTCCTTAAGCATATCTATTTACTAATTGGAAGCATGGCGGTCTAGCCCTTGACTGAACCACAGCAGTATTTCAGTAAGTGAAGCTCATTATGACATCAATTAGAATGTGTAAAATTGAACATTTATTGTGCCCTAAAAGACAAACGAAAAAAAAATACAATGTATGCCATTCCTTGACATAAACAATGCTATCTGCCAACATGTAATGAAAAATATCACACATAGGTTTAGCTGGATACAGAAAGATACAGCAAGACAAAGGTTGACCGGTGCCGACAAAGAAGTCACCCATGAAAGGAACTGGAAATGATGAAGCTAGGAATAAGTCCGAATTTTGAGACCACCTTACTTACACTGTTATGTTCACCATTGCACGAAAGAGGAGCTCCACAATCTTTCGGAATGATGAAGATGTCAGAGGTTTGCCAGAGATGATCGTATCATGGAGAGCTCCAAGCTTGGGGAAAATGAAGGTGTTCCCATCGTCGTCTGAACACGAAGGCCTAAAAATAGTGCAATTATTTTATAAGAAAATGATTATTAAAAAAAAAAAAGAAAAAAAATGTTGCTATGTAGAAGCATATAAAAAAAAACAAAAAAACAGAAATACAATAAATATGTTATAGGCGTCTCACATGCTTTTTCTCAACCTCATTTTAAAGCGATAGCTGTTATGGGCTCTTCACCCCCCTTTGAAATGATGGTGTAGAGAAACCGTCGTCGATATTGATGAATGCTCTAAAACATTTGTTACACTTTGCCGCTGCCAGGGATCGAACTATGGGCCTACTGTGTGTGAGCCAAGTGCTTTACCACCTGAGCTATCAGCTCTGTGTTCCCTGAATAAACTGCATGTGGTGAGGACACATGCGTGTATCAGTCTTGTGAAGCGCCCGTGTTCCTCCCAGGCACTTAGCCAGGGTCTTGTTTCGGAAGAGGGAGGGAGGGAGGGAGGGAGGGAGGGAGAGGGAGGGGGAGGGGGGGGGGGCAGAGGCCAAATGCTGTATGAGGGGGAGGAGGGAGAGGAGGCCCCAGCAAAATGGAAGATATTGGGGGGGGGGGGGGGGGGGAGGGGGCCGGGCCCCATGGACCCCCCTGGATACGTGCCTGGTTCCTCCATTGCCCAGGGAACGCAGCAGAACACAATGGTCCATGTACGTGAGATGCGTCAAAGAAGTAGATGAAACAAAACGGCACCGCGCAGGTAAAGCTACTAGCCGACATGTGATCCAAGCAAACAATAAATAAAAAGACGCGAACCAAAATGGCTAGATGTCACCACCCTAAGCAAAGCGCACATGTACGGTAGGCACCCGGTGAGACGCTAGTGCAGCTGGTATGAGCGTTTCCATTGATGCCACTTTGTCCGCCGTTCTATAGTGACAGCGGAATAGAAGCATTTCGAGGCTGCCTTGTATCACAACATAGCCTCTATAGTCGCAACCATTAAAACACACTTACAGCTCAAAGGGCTCGATGCCTACCAATGGTACATCTGGAGAGGAGTCATCTGGAGAAGTTTCATCTGGCAAGCTCTCTCTTTGGGCGGTTTCACAGTTTTCAGTGCGCACCGTCTCCAATGAAGCCTCCTCCTAAAACGAAAGGAAATCCCTGCAGTGTAAAGTTACTGGATTTGTGTTAAGGACCCCAGCAGGCTGTTTTAATGATATAACGGTTTGTACTTTACATGCTATAAGTAAGGTTTGGTGTATTTATTACTAATAAATGCCGCTAGATGCTCGCCGTTTCAGGAATTCAGTATAAATCGTAATGTACAAAATTTTCATATGCACACATGAAAGAATAAAAAACGCAGTGGACAAGAACAAACCAAGATATCTTTCCAGAGGTCCTATTTCGGCCCTGTCCACCTTCCGTTTCTTATCCTTTCGTGTGTGGATATGAACCTTCACCAATACGCTCGTCTTCAATAATACAGAAATTCGGCACCGTATTCTTGGTTCGTGGCTCATAATCTGAGCCCGAATTTGAAGCTTAAGCTCTTCGGTAGATGCAAACATGCACAGCATGCAATTTCACATAGTGTCAAACAGAGATGCTGTTCAGTGCTAAGAATAATATGCGGAGTACAGTGCAACACCGTCCAGTAGAGCATGCAAGCCATATCACTTTGAAAAAGACATGGCCCTGACTGGCCCCCTCCTTCTAATGCAACACTCAAACTGCTCTGGTATCCAGTACTAACACGAAACAAAGTTTATCTAACGAGGACCTCGATACATACATTAGCAAGCGATATAAGCAGGAAAGCATGAGTGACGACCAGGCTGTGGCCAGTCACTTGCTGCGGCTATGTGGTCTGCGCAGCCCGGTCACCGCTTGCATATTCCAGCTCACACCACCAGCAACTGTACTTGCATATACAATACGAGCACATAGCCCCAAATCCTCAGTTTTGCTGGGACCTCCTCTCCCTGCCCGCTCCCCCTCCCCCATCTATGCCATTTTGACATGGGCGGTCCCCCCCCTCGACAAAACCCTATGTGCCCGATACAATACTCTATATATAGGGTGGTCCAAGTCACCAGGATCGATCTAAAATGGACCATAAAAACAGGCGCCTGCACGTAGCAATCTAAACCTTTCGTCAAAGATCTATTTCACGGGTCAATTTTTTTTTGTAAAATTACAAAAAATAGGACCAAGAAAATTGCCAGGGTTAACGGCAGGCAACGACCCAGACGACCAAGCCCAGTAGCAGGGCGTGTTTGGCGATCGTATTCATAGATGGCATCGGGAGCAGCGTCCGACGGTGCAGCCGACCAGCTAAAGCTAGCAGACGACACGTTGGCAGCAAAAGCGCTGTCGTTATGCAGACACATTTTTTTTTACTTTAAGTTCTGCTTTTATTGCCCGCATTTATTTTTTAACCGAAGGTACATTTGAAAAAGATTATCTTCATTTTATAAAACCTTGGTCGCAAGCCGTCGCAGTAAGGAGGTAGCCCATCAATCTATACGAACGCCAAACACACCTTGCTACTAGACCCCTGTCGTCTGCGTCACTGTCCGCCGTAGACCCTGGCAAGTTTCTTGGCCTTATTTTTTACAGAAAGAGAGCTACGCTTTCTAATTTTACAAAAGGAAAGCGACATGTGAAATACACCTCTGACAAAAAGTCTAGATTGCTACGTGCAGGTGTCGATTTCTATGATCCATTTTATATCGATCCTGGTGACTTGGACCACCCTATACTTTGGTCTACGTGCTTGAGTGCAGGCGAACAATCACACTGAACTTCTCATCAGTTCCCTTATCTCTCAAGGTGCTTCTTTACAAAACGCTCGTGCGCTCTAAGCTGGAATATGCCTCTTGAATTGGGAACCCTGGCATTAACGTGTTGATATTGGCTTTTGAAGCAATTCAGAACAGATCTGTTTGTTTCATCCTTGCTAATTATCACTGCACTGCCAGTGTAACATCAATGAAAATAAGTTTGAACCTACCTAACCTTGCATTACGTGGAAATCTTAACAGTGTGTCTGTTCCACAAAATTTATTACTATAATCCTCTGCTATGTGACAAGTTACTGACACCTCTTTACATATCATAATTTCTTGACCATCCACAGATGGGCATTCCTCAATGTAACACTACAACTTTTTATAATTTATTTATACCTCAGACGACGGTCTTATGGAATCACCTTCCAGCATCTGTGGCATCCATATCCGATTCCATCGCTTCTAAACGATGCCTTAACAGTGTTAACTTTTAGCATTTCATTATTATGTATTTTTTTCATTCTTAAGATTGTCGTTTGTTTGCTTTTGATTGTTGTTTGTTTGCTTTTGATGTCTCCTTGTAACACACTCCCCTCTGCAATGTCCTCAGGCCCTGAGTAGGGTGACCATATTCCTCAAGGTAGAAAACGAGACATCCCAGCGGTAAAGGGGGGGGGGGGGGGGGGGGGTACTAAAGTTTGAGAAAAAATGTAATTAAATTCTACATGCGTGCTATTCCTACATGATTCTACATCCGTGCTATATCCAGTAACTAAAAAAAAAATATTTCTACCGTCCTCGCGAAAGAAAAAGTGTTTGTGGGCAAGAACAGTCCTAAATTTTACTCTCTGGGTAAATATTGTAAAGTACCTACGGTTAGTTTTGTAAAATATACTTGCAACGAATAGGCATAGTTGCAGTTTGCTTCTACTCGCTTGGTGCCAATTTTGAAACTATGTACTTCTGCGAAAACGGGACATGATTCTATATTGGGATAAAAAGACGGGACGGCAGAAATGGACCTGAAAAACGGGACTGTCCCGGCCAAAACGGGACGTCTGGTCACCCTAGCCCTGAGGGTCTGAAGATGAAGATGCTCAGGAGCATCTTCAACTTCCTTCATCAGTAAACAGAAGTCCGCCATTAGTGTAGCACATATGGCGTTTTCAGATGATGATGATAGTGATCAAAGTGGCCAGACTGAATTCCGGAAAGGGTCTATTGTAGTTTTAAAGGTGGCCATTAATAAAAGCCAACCCAATTGACACGGTTCCCGAAAAAGCAACAGGCTTTGAGATATTCATCTGTTAATTTTTCCTTTTTTTGCTTAACCCTTTAAGCGCCAGCCAGTTTTCGAAAAAATGTACCCAAAATTCAAATTTTTTTTATAGCACACTTTGATAGAAGAATTCTTCCTTATTTCAAGCATGTAAGACATGGGTATAAAAGCTTAACAACTGAAAACCAAAATTGATCCAATCTTAGGCCATGTGCCCTTACAAAAAATTTTAATGAATTTCATTTGACAGTTTATGGAGTCTACTCATTACATCTTTTCGAGTCTCAATAGAAATGCAAACGAGTTTTGTAACGAGTCCGTAAGGAGTTTACGAAAACTATTGGCCACCGCGTTCCAATTGATGTTTCGACAAAGCTACCGCATAAAGTTTCCAATGTATTTCATATGAATATAATTTGAAAGTCTATTGACACCGTTTCGAGTCTGTGTTGAAAAACAATTGATTTTTTGTAACGAGTCCCTAAGGAGTTTACGAAAACTATTGGCCACCGCGTTTCAATTACGGTTTTGCCGTGCCACCTCATAAGAATTTCTAATAGATCTCATTTGAAAGTCTAGATACACTGCTTTGAGTCTCTGTTGAAAATCAAATGTTTTTTTCTACCACGTTGTACTTGAGGTTTTGACGTGCCATCTCGTTAGGTATATTCCGACGAGTCCGAATATACCAAATGAGATGGCCCATCAAAACCTGAATTGCAACGCAGTAGAAATTAACATTTGATTTTCAACAGAGACTCAAAGCAGTGTATCTAGACTTTCAAATGAAATGTATTAGAAATTATACTCCTAGCGTGGGTTTCTAGATAGACGGCTCTAAGGGGAAAGACGGCAATAGGTTGCATAACATGTGGTCCGGATCTAACGGTTGTTTTGAGGGAAGGGGAAAGTGAGTGCAAGTGTCACTTTTATGTATGCCTATATACGCATGCAGTGTTCGAAAAATGCCTGCATAAAACCGTGTGAAGGAGTAATAACTGGTTTATTAAAAATGCAAAATTCGAGTATACGGTACACTGCTTTCGTGTCCATGGGGGACCTTGTACTGCCATTGTGTCCATGGGAGACCTTGTACTGCCTTCATGTCCATGGGAGACCTTGTACTGGTAACCTATAAAGAAAAAAGATGCACAGTTACACGTTGATCTGCTTATCTAAACTTCAATGTCCGCGCAAGGCATCCTGTTCACAGCGCAGCACTACCTCAGCGCTGAATCAGTATTACAAACCGGGACATCAGTCCTTTAGGAAAGGAGGACCCTCAGAACACACGATACAAGCCATGGAAGTAGCAGTGACTCGTTGCCTTAACAGGACTGAGTTAGCGCTGCACTGTATGTGTGAACCAGCCCTAAATGCAGGTCACATTCACAATTCCTACATTTTTGCTCACCCAGGCACTTAATTTACACACTACCTTGATAGTTTAATGAGTGGCACTAATAACATTGTCAGGGGCACCATAATGCAAAAGTATATTTTGCCCCCGAGTCTGCGAGAATCAATCGCTCACTGTTTTTGCTGCTGCATTGCACTCTTTTATTTCGGCTTTTGAAAAGGTCTACCAAAGATAAGCGAGCAGATGTTATCGCTTATGAAGTTTACCAAATTTGAACATAGAGAAGCTAAGACTTATAGGCATCTCGCAGAATTAACATGGCAATTTGGGCCAACTGATCCATGATCGTAGACAAGCGCCGCAAAAAACACGTGGACAATAAGTGGTGGTAAACACTGGCGCCAGTGTTTTATGTCTACTTGTTGTCCCTGTGTATTTTTATTTAATTTTTTTGTTTGTTTACTATCTTGAACAAGTATTTTTAATCACACTGGACAGGAAGGAAACGGTAATAGGGTTCTATGCGGATCATAAAGCCATGCTCCGAATGGGTGAGTATCAACTGCAGGTTTCACAACAGTGGCGGATCCAGGGGGGGGGGGACCCCCCTCCCTCCCCCCCCTTCTCGGAGGCAATTGGACATGAGTGGACCCCCCTGAGTGGAACCCCTTGAACAAGAAAGAATGGGAGAATAGTATCGTTAAAAATTTTCCGCCACCCCAAAACAAACAAAGGTCTGGATCCGCCACACTAAGTTTCAATTATTGGGAGGATCGATACATCAGAGGCCGAGTTTAAAAAGCAAACTTACGATACCCGAGAAGAAATCCGTATTAACAAAACAAAATTTGTCGCACCTTTTGAGTGACTTACAACTAAATATTACGACATTATCCAAAATGTCTCACAAACTTTTTAGGGCAAACATGGCCGCACATCACTTGGCTATTTCGCCGCGACCAGCAATGAATATAGAAGCGTGGGCAAGAGGCATGTGTTTTGCGCACTGTTCAGATGCATCCCTACTTGAAGCAGTATAAGGGCAACGCTAAACTACACACGGAGGATTCAGCCGACGAGTCTGCCGAGCTGTCCATCCAGCCCGTTAGAGCTAACCAGGTGCAGGACTGCGATCAACGGCGAGATGCGCCAATGAATCAACGAAAGCAAATGTCACACAAATCTTCAGTGCACGCAAAAGGATCCTTCACCTATGAATGGCGTGAACCTGATTTGGTGATCATTAGCGCCCCCTTGTACTTCAGTAGTGATTTTCAAAGTGGTGAGCGGCTGTACGACCCTACCACACGAAAAGGCACATTCCTGACTGGATGTGCCTTTTTAATGCCAAAGCATTATATGTCCATGGAGCGAAAAATCCGAGTTGTACCAAACGTTAACGGAGGATTAAAGAAAAAATAAAATGTACTTTCACGGCTGAGATTTGAACCCGGTGCTGCTGTGTGAGAGCCGGGCATGCTAGCTGCTGTGCTATCTCAGCTGCTTCGGAATGCGACATTACTCTCCCCTCAAAAAGAAGCTTGTCCCATTACAGCAAAAGATGGCATGTCTTTACCCGTTTTTTGTCCCTGTTTATCTGAGGCTGTTTTTTCATCATGTTTGACGGCATCGGCGTTGATGTGCCCGAAAGATGGTCATAAAAATATGTCCTCGGTTCGATGACATCACACTTCACGTGACGACATGACGTACCATGATGTGTGACGCCGTATTATGTAACGTAATACAAATATTAGAGGGGCACTTAGTTATACATACGTGGATGGAATGCGAAAGCATTGCCATTCCTAACAATAGAGGAAAAAAAAAGGAAGTGTCGTTAGGAATGGCAATGCTTTCGCATTCAATCCACAAAGGGGTACCTAAGTGCCCCTGTAATATTTTGAGTGGAGTAGAGCTCAAATAAACGCCGTACGGTGCAGTATATCCATGATTAAGTTGCTGCTAGTCGTGAGGCTTAATGTTTTGCACCAACAATACCATAGTTTTTCCTCGGTTGCGACGAAGTGCCACTGCGCTACGAACTTGCTAGAAATTTCTGCATATGCGACCACTTTCTCCTGGAAACCTATGGTGACCTGCCACTCACTTTTGGCCAAAGAACAGTGAAAATACCAGATGTGAAAACAGCCATAACAAGCATTAAAGAAATCAAGATGGGGGTCATAGCATTAGCTTCCCAACGTGGCGAGACTAGCACAGGATTTCTGTTACTCGCCGTTTAAGACAGGAGTCGACTTTTTCCGGTCTGATCTTGAAAACAAAGTTTGGTTCCGTTAATTTTGTAGCAGAAAGCCCGTGCTTTCCCGTTTGTGGGGTCATTTTCTCGGTTCAAAATATGATGCAGAGTCCTTCCCATAAAAATGCATGGGTGCCTGCTAGGACTCTTCGAAATGGTTAAATTAACTGAGGTCATTATACTCTGTTGCCACTCTAGAATAGCAGAAGGCCTTCCCACAAAGCCCTTCACTCTTTTTAATAAGCAAACACTAGAGAGGAGGAGAGCCGAGAGGACACCACCAATCATGGCGAGCAAAGGGAATTGTGGGAGGGGCTTGTGCTATTCTATAGTTGCAACGGATTATAACAAAAGTTTACAGTACTATGAAAACAAAAAGACCAAGTATGCACAGAAATTCGCAGGAAGTGTAGCAGGGATAGAATAGAAAAAACTGCAGCTGCAATATTTACCCTTTAAATTTCCCTCGACAGCACAGCAGAGATGACATGCTGGTCGTCAGTGCCTGGAGGGCCACCCCTTGTACTGGGAGCACATGTAGTCTGAAACGAACAACAAACAAAAAATTAAATGCATGAACAATCCGCACATGCTGTTATTTCGCTTCATTGGCCGCTTCAGAGAAAGCAAGCATGCACACCGTTGTCCAACCATGTCAACTGCTAGCCGAAACTTTCTGCCACCAGGATTAAGATATTGCTTGCGCTATAAAAAAAAAACATTTACACACTACCCAGCTGGCGCGCTGAAAGTTCAAACATTGAAGAAACTACAACATAAAACTTCAATGCAAGAGCTACACCTCGTGGACAATACACAAAAGTATGTTCAGTGTAAACCTTGGTGCACTGCAAGGCTGATTTACCTCAGCCAGTTTGGAACATCTGCAGTTCCATTCTTTTCAAGATATTATGCCTGAAAATTTGTGACAAATGAACTGGGTTAAAATTTTTTAATCGACACCCGGCCCAAATATTTAGGAAGTATACTAGTGGGTTAATTTCTAACTTACCATAATTATTTTCGGCATCCTGAAGGCGTCACTTCAGGGTCTTTTCATAGTGGATTTACCTCGCCCACACAGGTGCAACCACACTGAAATGTTTGCAAAGTTTCAGGCAGGGTAATTAAACGTCTGCAGTTTCTCTCGAACACCGCTGTCACAAATTTTGTCTTTTTTGTCATTTTGGGCTGTTTATAGGTGGTTTGGGGGCAGGGTCAATTACAATCCTCGCACATGTTTACCTGAGCGTCAAAGGCTTGAGCTCGGATGAGACTATACTCCTTTTCATACTTAAGGTGCAACGCTGTCAAAGCTACTGGCGCGAGCGTGGGGCTTGGTCTTGTTGATCATTTGCACGCCTTCTCGCACAAACAAAACCGTAGATGAAGCCACGCACTCACGCCAGTAGCTTTGACAGCGTTGCACGCTAAGTATGAAAAAGTATAATGCCGGCCGAGCTTCAAACCATTGGGAAGAGGAAGACAAGCGTTTCGGGTTGACCAACCACGAACCTGTGACAACCGCATAGGTCATTCAACAGACGTTTCATACCGCTTAAACACTGTGTCGAACTGCATCTTGAAGTCAGTCCCAATTCCAACGGTGTATGAACAGGGGCATTAATTTCGTGGCATGCCTTGAAATGAATCTAAGTGACGCAAGCTGGGAACACACTGCTGCTGCTTCATTTGGGAATAACTGCGGCCCTCGGCTTGATCACATCACAATTGCAAAATGAAAGAGAAAAAAAAGAGGAAAAAGGAACAACTGCTTTATCAAAAGTTCTAACCGACAAATATAAACCCAGTTCAATTCTAGAAAGCCAGGGGACCGAAGTTTGTCCTAACAGTACAATTTAGTCCACTTCCATAACTTCAAAACAAAAGATGGATATCCTCTTCAACCATTTTGACTGAAAAGGAATATTGTCTCTGCATGAACCGAATTCCAAGGAAGTCTGACTTCGGAAATATAATGAAGTATTGTCAATGTAATCAATTTATAGTTGAAAGACATCAGTACACTGCTAGACCAATAAGACATTTCCTAAAGCAACGGACCGAAAGTAGCATTAGGAATTCAATACGTGCTCTGTTGACATGAGCTACACTTTCTCGGACCATACACAGAATGAGTGGCAACTTTTCATTACGCTACACATAGATACAAACATTAGGACAGATAAAGCAAACCCAACTAGTTAAAAAAAGAAAAAAAAAAAACATTCTAGCTTAACGAGAAAATAGGGAGTTTTAGAATATCGGGCGCTACTTTACCGCGCGTTACGGACGGCAAAATAGCGAGGATTGCGGCGAAGAATTTTAGAATAGCGTTTCTCTGAAGGGGACCCCCCCAAACGCAAGCATCTCGCGCTTAAAACGCCACCAATATGTCGCGGCAGCTTTTATTTGAAAGTTAGAACGGTTTATCTTGAAAATTAAACAAGCTTTTTGTCCAGAGTAACATTTTTGTAGTTTTTTTACACTCAATGCCGCATGTTTTGTTTTTGTCGCTGCCAAGCTGCTCTGTTGTACTTACGAAGCCCAGACGATCCACCACCCAGGCATGCTTACATGTCTGCCGCGATCGTAAGTACACGCGCCTCGATAGCTTTGAGATGTGAATCCAGCGATTTGTGACGTTTTCAATACGCGTCGACCATACCGACCGCGGTCGCCGAGCGCGACTCACGCAGTTCCCGAGCGGGCGACGGCGTCGAAGACGCAATCAACGGAGATGTCGTGGGCGCCGCCTTTTGCGGTACGCCGCCTTTTAAGGTAACCACGCTATTATCGAAAAATAATGGGCCCCAAAGCTAGAGTCCGAAGCTTGTTTTGGGTCTGCGCATGCACAGCAGCCACGAGATTATTCTAAAACTCCATAATGTTCACTTCTCGTTCAACGCGTACAATGCAAACAAAGAAGTACACTTACCAACTGCGTTGAGTTGCTCGTTCTGTTGCGTCGTCGGCCTTCCGCGCTCTTCTTGAACATAATCATCACAAGAGAAAACTTCACAGATAGATAAACTTGATTAAATTAGCACATTTCCATTTCTAAAGGCATTTCCATACCGCGAAACGGAAAAACAACCTAACGGTCGCAAAAATGGCGAAACCATGCCGGAAAAAAAAAAAAAATACAAAGAACTGGTGTCGCTACCGATGGGGCGTCGAAGACGCGATCCTTAAAATATGAAACCGAAACCAGTAAAAGTTGCAATACTGAAACCGAAACTGACCAAATCGCGATAGAGGGGCGCCGTAAATAGGTCTGTTCACATGATGCATCTAAAGTAAAGTCAAATGTCTCCTTTTTTCTCCTGGTTCTCCAGATTTTGTGTGATCTACACCAGGATACTGCATTAGCCCATATTTTAGGAAGTCTTATGTCTCGCTCGGACTGGTTTTTTATGGGTTCTGCTTCTTTATGTGTGTGAGTTCTTGTGCATGTCGTCATATTTTCAAATCAATATTTTTCATAGGTTGACATGGTAATGTGACAGGTTCTGGCAGCATGTCATGAATATTTGTCAAACATATTATATTTTGATTTCATGTTATGTTGTCAGAAGTAAACTGGAGACTGATTTTCTTACTGCTACACTTCGATCAATAAATATTTGTAAAAAATGATAGCATTCAGAATTTCTCCCTGGTTTCCAATTTTTTGTGGATGGAGTAATTTTTAAGAAAATTGAATATGAACTCGTATAAAATTTTGTGAACACAAAAAATTGCACGCAGGAGAGGCACTTTATTATCAACTATTTGCATGAATTACAACTAACATTATAAAAAACGACTGCTAACAACCGATGTTTTTAAGCATAAATTTAACCTATACACCAACTCATGTTTACAAACAAACCGGAGCGCCCCTAGCGGACGCCACCGGCGCCGCGCATGCGCGATGGGGGTGTGGGCAAAAAGCTCGCCGTCGCCCATAAACAAACCATTGAAATGCGATGTTGTCGGCGCCGGTGTGAGTCCCCGCGCTCTTTTTCGCGTTAGAATTGTTGACTCTACGTCTTCCAGGCGATGTCTGACTACTTGAGCAGCGTCAGCGAAATTGACGAGGCTCGTTACACCGCAAAACTGCGCGTGAATAATCTGATATGCGGCGATTCATTCCGCGTAGACGCCGCAGAATGTACGCTAAAGCCTGATTCACATGATGAGATTTCGCTCGCAATTTTCAGTAGCGACGTCGCTCGGACTGCAAAAGCGTGAACCGTAGCTGAGATGGTCGACGTCGATACTGAAAATCGCAAGCAGAATCCAACCAAGTGAATCAGGCATAACAAGTCGGTGATGGCCAGTGGTAACAATGATCAGCATCTTCTTGTATCTACTGTTTACGTCGAGCCTGCTTACCAACCTTCAAACTTAAGTCTTTTGAGGCCTGCACTTGATTCTTATCGCAAGTACCGGGCCCACGTTTGGTCTACGGGCCGGTGTCCTCTAAAAGAGCAGACGACAAGCAGAAACGTTTGAAAGAGCAGACGACGGTTCGAACGATCAGGCAACCGTTTGAACTTGAAGACGCACTGAACGTAGTTCGCAGGTGGTCCGTACAACTTGACGGTTTTCCGGCGTTCATTTTGGAACAATACAAATAAATTTGATGGCCAGTAGTATCCGTGAATTTAACCCAAAATGCTTCCCACCCAAGCAATCTGGTCCAACGGCGTCTGGTTTTTTTTTTTTTTTTCACTGGACATATCCGCGTTCTCGGACGAACCGAGCGCATGAAAACTGACCTTCAAACCTTTCCCGACTCTCTTAAAACAGCCCCAGTCGCAGCATTTTGACGAGAAGGCAAATTTTTGTCTGGTTCCTTTCAAAACAACGCAGGAATACACGTCTCAAATGGGCACTTCCGCCCACAGCCCCGGACCGGAAGTGCGTCCGACGCGCCACCACCGCGCCGTGACGTAACAGAGATGAGTTCGTGTATACATTTATGGGGAGGTCCACATATAAGGTTTCAGAAATCCTTTCATATTATTATTTAGCACCCTCTTCTACACCCTTCTCACACCCTCCACTAAATGGAGGGTGTAACACGAAACAACACCCCTCTCGGTACAATAATGTGGGTGCAGTAGCTGATTTAAGGGTGCTAAAGGGGTGTAGTCAAGGGTGTAAATTACCAAAACACCCCTTTTACACCCTTAAAGGTGTAAAAACTTTTAGTGTGCACCTGCACCCCAAATACTGTGATTCCGCTGCGTAATCGCCAAGAAAAAACGCATTATTTCCCCGATCTGCAGCTGCGTGTGGCGGTCATCAGAGGCAACGTTATTAGAACAACTCAGTTCTGGAACTCCGCTCCGGATGGGGGTCCCTTTGCGTGGCGCCTGCTAGAGGGCGCGCGCTGCGCATTAATACTCGCTATCATCATCATTGACGGCGCGCTTGTGGCCGTTGCCATAGAGATCGTACATGGCCGTTGCATCTGGCCTACTGAGCTTACGGATGTTCGTGGCACTTTTTCTGACAGTAGCAGACGACTTTCAAATTGTTTCTGCTGCAGTTGGTAGTCATCGGCACATCTACTATTACAGTATGTACAAAACTTGCCCTGATTGTAGCCACCGGATTGTGGCGCCGACGAATTTGGGTTGTTCGAAACGCTTCGCGCTGTCAGCACAGCTAAGGCAGCAGCATTCTACAATAATGCAAAGCGTATGCCAAAACGGTCGTAGCGCTTTTCATGCTCAAATTGTAATTTTTACTGGCGAAAGGGCAAAAATTAACCAAAAACCATGCTGAACCTCAAGAGGAGTCGGGACTGAAAGCAGCCGCGGAGCAGTAGCAGACGAAAACGCGTGGAATAATGCGCCGGCAGCGCCACCTAGCTACAAAACATCGGACACGGTTTCGGACCCCCTCCAATGTACAGCGTCTATGGGAAGTTCCATAACTGAGTTGATCTAGTAACGATGATCAGAGGCACGGTGCCACGTCATTGGGAGACCCAAAGACGTGACACCACGGCTGCGTGCCGTCAACGAGACAAGCTTTTCATCACGCACAAAACGAAAGAAAATCACTGGCGAGATTTGGTCCACAACTCCTCACATAGTGCGTTCGTAAGTACAGTATTGGGAGTTTCAGAGCTATTTTCCAATGCACAGCAATATAAAACAATCTGACCCATTTGTTAAAACGTGTCAAACCCTGTGAACAAACCGTGCGTGTTCCGAAACCGGAAGTCGTTTTGGCAACAAAGCCCGGGTAAAGAAGAAAAACGGTTTTGTTTTTGAGATTTTGTAGTGTTCGTCCGCCGAGTGTCATTACCAACGAGCTTGAGTAAACTTAGAGCGGTAAACCAGCGGTCAAAAATGGCACCCCCCCCCCCCCCCCCGGTTGCCGCCATCTTGCCTGTTTGCCACATTAGTGATCACGTGACGTTAAGATGGCTGTGCGCCCAGGAGCCCTAAACTCGTGAAACACAAAGTTAGAGCTGAAAGTTCGTGGAGCGCCCCGATTAGACGTCGGCGAAAAAAGTGCGAAGTCATCGTCGTGATAGGCCAATCGGTACGCTCCGTCAACTTCGGCTCCAACTTTGCGTTTTACGAGTTTAGCGACCCAGAGGTGGGCCAGATCAGATTGGCCAGATCGCGGTCAGCAAATGTCAATGTTACTAAAACACTCATTTGGGAAACTCGCCGTCGAAACCTGGGCCGCTGGCGTCCACCGAGACCGAGCTAAATGCGACAACAGCGCCACTCTTTATCGTTTGTCTGTACCGTGGTAACTTCGAGCTTTTAGAAAGCCTGCTTTTGCGTAAAAACAAACAGAAAAGACTCTTTTTGTATGAAATTTATTGGAGTTTAGTACAAAGTGAAGGGCGCATGATGTTTTTATAATCTTTAGTTTGCAAGGTTTTGCGGAACAATTAGTATTGTTTTTATACAACCATGCCTCAGCGGTCCTTTCAGGTAGCGCGTCCCGAACTAGGTGCATTTTAACTTCGGTAGAAATTCGCGACGCGTCCGCCGAGGAGACAAGGGTTGCACCCCGTAACCTCTTCCGGTGTATATGTTTCGGCACCCAAAAATGTCAGATTAAAACCACAATAGAGTAACATGCGGTTCCTCGAGTGGCCGCTGCGGGAGAAATGGCGGCGTTGTGTTCGCCATTAGCTCGGTTCTGGTGGACAGATTGGGGCCACTTTTTCAGCGCAGTCTCTGTGGCAGTTTCTCAACTAGGGGTGTCGCGAACTTTTGCCGAACCAGATTTTTTGGTCGAATTTTCGGGGTTCGACTTCGAACTTTTCATCAGAATCGACCGGTTCGACTTTGTGGACAGTGTGGCCAGACCTTGATACAAGCATATCTAGGTTTGGAGAATTGCTTTTTTTATGCAAAGGGTTATTTTATTTTGTGAACAGATGCAACTAAAAGAAACTAATTCTATTCACTGAAGAAGTTAATAACTTAAATTTTAGTACTGTATTGACTGAAATAGCCGATCTGCGCTGCACTTAATTCATCTCTTAGCCATTACCATCCAACCCAAGCTAACTGGCCAGCCTGTCGCGCATGCGCACACGAGTCGAACCTCAATACAAGGTTCGACGAACTTTCCACTAAACGTTCGAAAAAGTCGAACCTGGTCGAACTCGAACCGCGGCCGGTTCGCGACACCCCTATTCTCAACTGAGTGGTTCTAGTAACGTTGAAGGTAAGACTCAAGCTCGTTGGTCGCCACCGGCGGCCATTGATTGACACCACCAAATGCATAGGACTCTATAGACGAGAAAAGAGTCAAAGTACAGGCTAGCTGGTGGAAGTCAACCATTGAGACCTGTCTGTTTTTTCTGTTACTTCTGCTCTTCAAAAAAAAAACCCAGTCTCAGGGTAAACGACGAAATGGTTGACTCTATAGACCTTTCCAGCGGCAGTCTCGAACGAAGCGATTTCCAGCGCTCGTCCCTGGTTTAGGGAGTGTACGTCAGTGTTGCCCGACTGCGCGGAGCTGTGGATTTTCTCGTCAGTAGGCTGTGAAGCCTGCGTAGGAGCAATTTTGAACGCTGGGGCAGCAAAATCACCTCGCTTTATTTTTTGTTTTGTGTTATATGGCAAAGAGAATTTTTCAAAGTTTTTAAGAAAGCGTTGAACTATTTTTGG